GTCAAAATACTGAACACTGTAAAAAAACGTAGAGAAAAAAATTTAGCATACTTTTAGTATTTGACTAATTTCTACGTTATTTCACAACATCTGAAAGATGTACGCAGAATTTAACGGGCTACATTTTGGCAAACAAGCACTTTTATTTTTCATTATATTTAATTAGTTAAATTATCAGTTAATTAACGGTTAATTATCAGTTAATCATCGGTTAATTACTAGTTAATGGTTATTATGAAAGAATTAATAAAATTTTGATTTGTTTGTTTAACATACAATTTATTGGTCTAGTTTTGCTTCTATTTGAAAATGATTGTTAACTTTATCTTTTCGATACAAAATTTTACGCATAAGAACAGAGTATTTATGGCACGAACTCATAAAGCATTTATAAAACTATTTTAATTATGTCGTAGGAAGTATTCAAAGAAAAAATTACAAGTGGCGATATCAGTTGAACGAGAAAGGAGTTTTAAAATCTAGGAAGATTAATGACACATTATATGAACGATCCTCTAACACTATTTGTCAATAAATATAGACACCTGATACACACAATAACATTAATTTTTTTTTCATTTTTCATAACAGTATGTTGTTTTGGTAAATCAAATTAGTAGTGTTTGATTAGTTTCTTATAGTATTCATAGTGTTTGTTATTTATCTTCGATTAAATTATGTTGTTTCAATATATTATATATTTGTTGTGATATTTGTATAGATATATTTATTGGTAAAATTTATAGAAATCAATGAAGTGTAGAAAATAGAAAAACAGACAAGAATTTCTTTTTATTTATTCTTTACAAACCTGTTTGAAGTTTGCCAAATAAATTTGGAAATAAAGATTTACTACCAGTTAGCATTCGTATACCTTGCATTCGATATTGCATACGTGATCGAGGCATACTTTCAGTTAATTTAGCTGCAAATAATTGTGCCTTTTCTTCTAACGATAAATGTTTTGCTTGACCAAGATCCTATTTAGTATTTTATAAAATAAAAAAAAAAACACGAATATATATTCTAATTTAATTATTGATTTTAAAATCAATTCACTTACACGTAAAAATTAAAGAAGATCTTCTCGATGAAACATTTGTTGTTTACCGTTTGCATCTATTTCAGCTGGTCCTATATATCAGCATAAAATACATTTAATCAATTTTTAGTAAATTATTTATAAATTTATACTTAATATAAGTTTTCGTTCTTCTTGTTTCATATTAGCATCTTTCGAAGCAAAAAAATTCTTTTCTCCCTAATCAAATACACACAAAAGAAAAGACAAATTAATTGAATTTAATTATTTTTTATATGCATTCATTTACCAAATAAGCTAATATAACAACTAGTGAAAACATCAGAAATGTAACGACAGCTTCCCAAACGTCAACAACATCTTTTGATATGACTGATAAAACAATGAATAACCATATGTATGCAAAAAAAAACAAACAAAAAATGATGTGATCTAAATTAATTTTTGCTTGATTTTATATTGGAATATTGAAAAACTATAATCTTTACCATAAAAACAGTATATAACTCTATTCGTCTTGTTTCAGAAGACTTTATCGATACAATACATAAAGCAGTAATCATTAAAAGGTTGTAAGCAGCAGAACCAACAACTAAAATAATGATATTATTTATTAACATTTTTACATAGAATATGTAAATAAATGATTTTTGTAATTTAGAAACATTTTATTTTCCAAACAATATGCAGCACGCTGCATTTTATTATATATTTACTTTGAACAAAAGATATAGATTCAAGTGTAAATAAGGTTATTTTTTTAATTAGAATTTATATTTACATAAAAACACGAATAAGTATTTTGGAAATGATTTTCAACAGAAACAAAATAGAGTTCTGCACTCTTAAAATATACAAAAGAAGAGATAACTCCATCGGTTCTTTTCTTTCATATATTGATGACAAGCAGTTTTATTAGAGTATTGAGTTATGTTCTCCAAAAACCAATATAACTATTTCCAAAAGTAGTAACATCGGTATTTTTATCAAAAAAAAATCAAAGTTTTAGAAAAAAAGGTAAATCAATAATCTGATAAAACTTCTCATAGATGCTTAAAAGAAATGATTTGATTTAAATTTCTTTCTTTCTTTCTTCAAAAAGTGAAAGCCGCAAATCTCTATTTTGTTACCGTCAAAAGTTATTTTTAAAACACTCAATCTTCTTTCGCGCTAATATGAACAATAAAGCATAGACGGAAATGGTTACAAAAGCAAAATTAAAATTTTCTCTTTCGATACATTTTGCATACTTGAAACCGCATTTGTTGTTCAATGTTAATACATTACAAAACAAACATTATATTTTATATTGTCTAATAAAGAAAAAAAAAGAAGAATGTAAAATATCTTACTAGTACCAGGTCCAAGTTCTCCTGCTTCAAAACGATTTCCAACTATTTCAGTAATTGATAAAAGAATTTCTGGTGAACTTGAACCAAGTGTCATTAATGTTAAATTAGCAACTGTTGCATTCCATATTGGAACTTCGACTACTATATGTTCTTTTAGTTTTTCTGGATTTGGATACCGTATTTTTTGTTTCCTTTCTGTTATTGTTTAAATTGCTGCCATGAATACATCAGCAATAATAGCAATACCAAGAAAAAGATAGTAAAAATATAAAATACAACACTGCTCGTAATGGTATTGACATATATGTTTCAATACCTATTTTATTAGAAGTCATTCATAAAGAATGTTCACAACCTATGAGCACTATTTCAGAACTTCCTCTTTCGGAAATCTATTACCTCTAGAAAGAGGCTGCTTATTCAAATACATTACTTCCTTCTTATTAAACAACTGTTTATTGAATAAAAAAGTACACATATCATAAATAATAGAACAAAACATAAAATTCAATAGAAAAAAAAAACTCGAAAATCTAGCAATGTTCATCTTTAATAATCTAGAAAATAATTAACCACCAAAGTTTATCGAATCGAGATTTGATACAATTAGATTTTGATATGCTTAATGAAATTTCTTTATCCGAAGCAGACAGTTGTTTCAAAGATGCAAGAGACTTTTTTTCTAATTGTTTGCATTTTACAAATACCGTGTTGTCAACACATTTTCCATGATAAAAGATTCATCAAATCCAACAATTTCAAGATCAAATCTAATCAGAGACGAGTACAGAACAAGATTTTCTCTTCTACTCTGTTCTGTGCTTATCTCTAGATCTCATATACTCTACTATTTTGTTCATGCAGTATAATCTTCAAATTATTTGAACACTATGTTTACATTCAACTAATTCATTGAGCTTGTTTTCTATTTAAAAAAAGAAATTGTTTTTGAAAACTACGCTAAAATTCGTATGAAAAAAGGAGAATATTTATTGAAAATATTCAGAAAGGGTGTGGAGTGTAGGTGTGACTACCTTTTCTAGTCCACATCTACATCTAAACAGAGACCGGCCTACACCCACACCCTTATGAAACATCCTTTATATTATCATAGAAATAGTATTGATGAAAAAAGGCATATTGTAGTAACTATCTGATACAATATCCTAAGTTGAACATAAAATATAAAACACATGTAAATACTAATTAGAATTGATTGAAATCAACACATTTTTATTTGTATTAGCTCGAATAAAAGAACAAGACTTTAATTTTCAAACTGAAATATAAATGAGAAGACTTGGTACGGATACTAAAGCTAAACGTCAATCTAAAAAATAGTACTATCTAATAGCACACTAGTGAAATTAATATTTCTGAAAATTAGAGCTTCTATCCATTGTTAATCAAGTTTTTTTTTTTATCAAAATTTGTATGAATTATCCTTGTCTATATCATCTGCACTGATAAATGATGTCTACCTGTGATTTTTTTTTGCTCTTCCACTGTGTGCAAGTACGCCTTATTCTCAAGCAGTCATGGCCAAAACTTGTTAGTACGATTGATTTTTTGTTTTTCTTTTTCTTTTTTCATTCAGACATGTGCACGTTGGCAAGGTCAAAATCGAAAATCAACGTGATAAGAATCAAAGTAAAAAAAGAAAACAAAATTTGCACTTTAGTCAAATGATATGACAAATTTTGTATGATGATTTTCTTTTCTCTCAATTTCCTTTGTTAACTATTCGATTGTTCAAACTTTTTTCAAATTAATTCATGATTTCGAATTACAAGTGTACAGTCATTTATGTATCGTGTTTGTTTATTTGTTCAATTACCCATTGAATTATTACACATAATATTTAGTTATTTTTTTGACACATGAAATTTTTCAGAGTTTTTTTTTTATGTTAGTGATTATATCAATACTGTTATACTTAACTATTTTGAATATCAATTGAATTTAAAATCAATAGAAAAATCTCAGTTAAATTTTATTTGTCATCATTTACGACCTGAACAAATTATTTCATTAACAATCTCTCATGATAATGATACATGTCATTTATCTATGCACTTTTTGTACATTTTTCGACTTGAACAATTCATTTGACTACGTTCGCTTACACTCATCGATATTAAATATAAATTGATAGAACCAATTTTTAATCATTTACATAAGCTATCGAAATTGCGTTCATTTTCATTTCATATCGAAAATATTCGATATAAATATAAAATATTTAATATTGATTTTCCAAGAAAACTCAATCAATTAAATTCATTTTTGTCAAATGTATTTATTCAAATAATACCTCAACTTACTTATGTAAATTTGGATAATGGTAATCTTTTGAAATCAATATCATTACCTCGTCTGTATTATTTAAAACTGAAAAAATGTTCATTATATCAACTGAAAACGATTTTTCAATATGCACCACAACTAAAATCTCTTAATGTTTGTCTAAGACTTGAAAATCGATTTTCTCGAATTATTTTATCATCTTCACAATTAATTCGATTCAACTTGACAATGGAGAGTAAGTTCTAAAAGATTTAATCCAAATAAACGTTTCATAAAGTATATATAAGTTATCAACAAAAAGCATCATTCAATTCGGTTAAGTTTCGAGTTTGAATCTTTCTATTAACATTATTCGCTGTTTTGTTTTGTATATTTGTAGACTCGAAATTTTGGAAATACTTAGAGCTTAGCAAAAGTTTTAATCACAACAATTAAAGGATGTTTTTGGATAAGATAACCCACTCAGAAATGATAAATCATATATACATCATGTTGTTGAGTGCTTTTAGGCGTATTCAATAGTTTATAATAAATTCTGTTTTCAGAAGACTTTGAAAAAAACTAGAGTTAGTTTACTAATAGAATACTAACCAATTTATATCCACATCAACAGGATGACTGGACATGCTAAATATTTAGATTGTAGCTCATCAGAAACTCTGCAAAACTTAGATAGTCCTGTATTCATTAATTATCTCTAATTTCTTCAAAACTCGATGGAAATGGAATTTAAAATATGCCATTCAATGTGCACTAAAACGGTCTATAACATTTAATATTTGGTTTCTCATTTCTGAATAGGTCACTTTAATCAAAAAAGTCCTTTAAATGCTGTGATTGAAATTTTTGATACATCCTAAGTAGTATTATTTTAAGCAATTTGAATTTTAGCATATAGAAATATAGTTGCTATGAATTATTTACATCTATTTGTATTCAATAGATTATTCTGTATCGATAAATGAATTGGAACAATTGCTATATTAAATTTACCTTGTCTCAAATATTTTGAAGTGAATGCCAATGGTAGAAATCTTGCTGATGGACAACGTTGGCAAAGATTAACTCGAAATCTAATTACATTCAATTTTAAATTTCATACAAATCTTGATGGAAATGAAATGACTCTCAATTCATATCGAACACCATATTGGCTTGAAGAAAAAAGCGCTGGTTTGTAGCATATTTAAATAATTGTCTATTTTCAGTTCCTCGAATTGCATAAAATTATATCATTATATCATCTTCTACGTATGTTTATATGACAGCACCTGATATAACATATGTCAATGAGAGTATAACGAAACTAAGTATTGAAGGGATACCTATTCAAAAACAAATTCGATATACACATATTGAAACATTAAATATTCAGTGTTTAATTTCATATGAAGAATTGATGTCTATCATAGATTTAAAACAAGTGAAACATTTATTTATATTATCATTAGTGGATTTATTAGAATTTATTTCACTCGAAAAATCACTATCTTCTTTATATCGATTGACTATCTTGAATGATTTAATCATAGATATGATTAAAAAAATGAGATATTATCGATTTGAAAGTATTTGTCAGCTTAATATTAGTCTTTGCTATGAAAATAAATATTTTATTATGAAAAAAATAACTTGTATTTTTCCATTTATTGAACAACTTTCATATAGAAATTATGTTCATTCAATAGAAGACATGTTTCAATTTATTTTTCGATTTAAACATTTACAAAATGCATATTTTCATAGTTATTTGATATTTCCTAATATTGAAAAGAATATATATTTCAATCCAGAATATTCTATTGATATATCTTGGTAATTTCTCGAAGATGATGATAATTTATACCTATTTCTTGCTTCGTCCAATTATAGATCAATTAAAGTATCAGTGAGAGTATCTTTTACAATGAAGATATTAATCTATCATCGAAAAAATAAATATTGGTTACAACAATTACAGTGTTTTTCTTATCAATTAATATATATTTTATTTCGTAATTTAGAACCATTATCAAGTGTAATATTAAACTTTTTCATTTCCTTATCTATTATGCAAGATATATTTTGTGCAACAATTATTGTAGTTTTTTGTTTTATTATTTATATATTATTCTCTTGAATTCATTTTCGAAGTACATATATTGTATATTTATGTTAGTTATTTGATTATTTTGTAAGAATCAGATTTGAACTTTGATTTTTTTTTACTCATTGCTTTCTATAGACAAAAATAAAAGGAATGTATATATCGTATTTTTCTCATTCTTTGCAGTTTAATTTGATGCCATTAAGGTTTTGTTCTAAATCTAACCTATATTTATGCGTGAGTGTGACTGTGGATGTGATTGTAGGTATGGGTTTAGTTTGCTTTTGAGTGTTGTTGTGGGAGTGAATGTGGGGAAGAGCGTACATGTTAGTGTGTGCCAGTATGTGTGACTGCAAATAGAGAGAAGTTTGATAGTCACACCCACATTCACGCACTTATTTTAAACAAATTGAGGAGAGAATTTGACAGAGAATTATTTTGGAGCTTTTATGTTGTTTGTGAATGCTATGATCGGGTCAAAGGATTATATGTATAGTTTGACAATTGGCATCAATAAACAACTTAACATATAATATAAGTAGAAGCTTCATTCACCATTGAGTGTAGTATATGATGTCAACACATTCATGGATACACACATCGATTCATAGCAGAATTTATTTTTAATACTGAACTATCCGTTTCAACATAGTTTTTCTTTATGAAAAAGCAAAATTTAACCATGTAAATATTTTTTTTTTATGTATGTTGACATTTCCAAATGCGTGTTTTATTCTTTGTTAATCTATATATCATAATTCATAGATAATCTAGAACTTTTACTCTAAATAAATACAAGCAATTCCGGAGTATTCATTAGTTTTAAATGAAATTCACATTGCTGATCTATTGTTTTTTCTAAATGATTTGAAATAAATTACAATATTGAACAATTTATTTTATCAATAAATCGTATAACTAAATTTCATAGGAATTAATCTGAAAATAAAAATCTTAAGGCCTTAGCTATTTTTTGAAATTTCATATTTGTTATGGTGCTCATTCAGTTGATACTTATTTCGTCCGAGAGTTTAAAAATCAATTAAAATTATGTTTATTTAATCACCAACTGCATAGAATCAAACTTAATTTTGATTCATAAATTTTCATTTATTTCAAGCTTTTTCCTTGTTAACTTCAATGCGACAAATATTATTGAAAACGAAGTGTCGTCAAACATCATCATACAAGATATCTTAGTGAAGATAAACTTTGGTATACTAACATCGAACACTCATGTTATTTTAAAATTAAAAAAAAAAGAAAACAATATTTGCATCAATATTTTAAACATTATTCGTTCGAAAAGTTGCATTTGTTTTTCTCTCAGATTTTGTTCGTAACTTATTTGTTTCATCTTATCCACGGAAAAAAATTGAAATAAATTTAAAATCTTTACAGAAAAGAAACAATGTGTCATTAATTGTCGAAGAAAACTTTTATGATTAAAACAAGTTTTTGTTTCACTCAAACATTGGACTTATTGCATTTTTGTTCTCGGGAAATACTACAGCTAAATTTACTATAAAATGCAAATTGTTTTAAAAACAAAAAAAAAAAAAAAGAAATTATTTCTTATACTTAATGTTTCTCTCTGGAACATCATTCAGATTAACATTTATTTTCCTATATAGAAACTACAAAGAATTTTTATGAGCTTTTTCTATTATAAATGTTATTTACATATTTCTATGTATTATTCAATAGTTTACTTGCTTTGCTGTTGGTAAGACTTCATATGGTGATTATATTGATATGTCAAATTCATGTATATACTTCTGTCTTCTTTCCACTTTTATTTTATCTGTCTATATGTTTATTCTTCCCGTAGTTGTGTGCTTATTGAATTTTTTTCTTTATATGATGAATAAAGGATTTTTCAGTATAAGACAGTACGTATACAAGGAAAAAAAATGATATAAAACAAGGTACATGTGACAAATAACTTGTGTGATTGATGCAATACTGTTTACTTGTTCCTATAGGTTGTGCTCGGCCAACTGGATTATAATGAGATAAATGAAAAAGAGGAAACCTACGATGAAAAATATGAATATGAGAATATCTTCAAAAAGTCGCATTTTTTCATATTTTTGATTGAATCGCTGTTATTAATTCATCGATAGTATCGGTCCAAATGCGGAAAAACGCCTTATTAATACCTAATTAGCAATTTCTTCCATAAATGAGTCTTTGAATGTGTTGAAAATAGTCCCAATGAATAGAGCTCGTCGAGATCTATCTGAAGACCTATGTTTCCTACTTGGAGACTAATTATGGGGGAATCGTAACAGATTTTCCAGAATATTGTTAATTTTTTCGTGGTTTTTCTATGGTTTTTTTAGTTTTGGTTTGAGGGTACATTGTTCAATCGAGTAAAGGTGGTGTGATTCTAATAGAGCACGTCGAGTTCTGGTTGGAGACTTTCATGTCGAAGCTGAAGACTAACTTAGAGCGAATCCATTCACGAAATACTCGAATCCTAACTTTTGATATTCTACTTCTGTTAGTATGAATGGCATTCAACGATTGATACTAATGTTAGTTTTTGAAAGACGAAAATCGTCACCAATATCCGCATTAGTGCAAATATCTTTATCGACAAACTTTCTAAAGGCTTTTTAAATTTCAGAAACCTTTCCTTTTTATGCCTACACTCTTATCAATTTTCCTCTTAAGTGTTTAAAACAATAGATCAACAATGATATCAACATAATTATCACCTTTGTAATACAAAAATTCATCGAGAATGTTTTAGAAACAACTCCATATTCTAGTATAAAAAAGGAGAACAGCACATAAGAACTATTTTTAAATCAGCTTTCGTTTCACTATATTTATTAGTTACTTGATACAAAATTTCATGAGGAATCGGTCAGTAAGTGGTTGCGAGAGTAAAAGATTTGATTTATACTCACAAAAGTTTGAGTGCAAAAATAAACTTTCGAAACTGAGAATATATTAGCTTATGTTGATGATATTATTCATTCAACAAGATCATTACTTATCTAGCTGCTGTTTTTTTTCATCATGTTTTAGCGACGCATCCAGCCATTGAATTGAAGTGCCCAGTCTTCTTCTATCCGTACAATGAAGTTTTCTATTTTTAATTGTAATAAATAGCAAACCAACGACTTGAAGAAAATTGTATCGCATATTGTATTCAAATACGATGAAATATAAATGTAGTCAATAATTATTATTTATGTGAATTTTTTATCATTTCTAATAAGTACCCCCATAATCATCGGTGTAGAACCAGAACACATACACTACAATCATAATATTGCACATTTTATGCAGACCATTGATTAATTGAAAATAGTGAAAGACAAACTTATGGATTCTGATTTATCTTCATCTATTCAAAAGAAGAACAAAACATTTGGATTTGTGTGTCTCTTTATCTGATCAATAGACACTTTGCTACTACTGATAAAACTATTTTATCGAAAAGTCGAACAAAAACAACAGAGCTCATGACAAAGGTTAAAGAAAATCAATAAGTGCATAAAATACTGAAGAATAAGGACAAAAAAAGAACAATAAATATTGCTTACAGAACATATAGCAAACAAAAATAAGAAATGACAATTAAACGCATGTAAATAATAAAAATAAAAAATAGGCTAAAAAAATATCAGTACTAAACGTTTGAATCACATGAACTGATGGACGTCTCTGAGATAAAAACTACTAAAGCGTTATTCACCATAATTTATCAATTTAAAACGAGATTTTGCATCTGAAATGATGAAATTTTATACGATGGCAAAAAAATTAACATGTAGAATTTTTTCTTGAATTTTTTCAGTTTTCTTACATCATTGTGAACCTCAATGATTCGAGTTCCATTTCTTTAATATATCTGAAAAATTCAATATGAATAACACATTTATTCGAAACTAATTTTATAGATGCTAAAATTAAAATCAACCTGTTAGATTTGTTTGTTTCAAATGTTCAACAGATGGTTAATTAATTGAAAGTTCACACTAGTGAAAAAAATTCCAGAGAAAAGCTTTACATATCCCAATTTGTGGCTCGATAAAAGACTTAATCCTATATTGAACGTGAAATAATTACTTGATGAAAATACTTGAAAGTTCAGAAATCAGTATAATAGAAAATAGTCCATACAATACACAATCGCAATTAAAAAAGATAATGACAGTGGTTAAATAATCATAAGTATACTTGATATTGGTCGTGGGAAGTGAACCAAACATGCTAACTAAAGAAATGTGGTTCACTTCACCCCGTTACATTGAGCCAATCAAATACGACTCCATATTTTACCATAGTCTATTTGTGCTTTTTTTTTTCCACCAGTTGTTATCGATGGATCGTCGAATAGAAAATTTTTTGAAATAGGTTTAAATGACACTTCTTCTAATTGTTACAGTACAGCTTAAGATGTAATAATTTTTTCATTATTTGTATAATCTACTTTTAGATCAAAGAATGAAATTTTTATCTAGATAATNATAATATCACTGTGAGAGTAGAGTCAGTGGTCACCGGATAGGGTCGCATACAGTATGGTCCATGCTAACTTAGCACGTCTGTATTTTCTCCTTGCAATTTAGTGATAAAAAACACAGTGAATATACCTTTTCACTTTTTGAAGTACACATAACACTCGGATTTAAATCCGAGATTTTCGCATTTATTTATTGTTAAAAATCAAACAATTAAATATGTAAAATAAATGATGCAGTTCGAATTGATAATTATACTTCTAATTGATTACAAGATAATTCAATGGAATAATAAGAAAAATATTCTACAACAACTATTGATTTAAATTGAAATCAAAAACAACTTAATAAAATATATATATATATTATTGTTTGGTACTTCAAAAAAGAAATTAATAAGGATTTATTTTATTTATTTAACTTTATGTGATTCATTCTTATTTCTATTCGATTCAAAATTCTTCAATGAAAAATAAACAGAGAGGTCTCTATCGTTAATGACGCAATAAAATTATTCACAATTATTCATTGATTCTAAAAATAATTTTAAACGCATAAATGTGTACAAAACTGAACCTCGTTCGTCATTTATTATTCACGTTCTTTATCTATACGATATCTTTAGATATAGGTCATAGTTGATGTTAGAATTTAGTTTTTTTCTTAAAATTTATCAAAAGTAATTGATTGAATTTAAAATATTATGATAAAGGTTTTTCTTTATAAGTATTTTCCAATGTTTATCATTTCTAGATGGTAAACTTATGAATTGTTTTTTCACATTGTATGGATCATTATCTGATACATTTCGTTTTTCGTTAATGTTTCAAACTCGAAAATGTGATATATTTGCTTCTTTATAGTTCAGTTTAGTTCGTGTGAGTGATCATTGTTCGGTAATATCGAAGAGTGAAATCTGATGAAACAAATAGTTTGACTAAACTAATTATATAAACATGTAATACAGACTTTTTTCTGGATTGTCTAGGTATCTATCATGATTCATTTTATTATAGTTAAAAAAAAAAAAAATCTTTTCTGGTGCGTGCATAATGCAAAGTTATGCTTATCAAAATACTTATCTTTTATTTTTATTCTATAGATATAAAAATATTATTTATGTCATCTCGTTCTACAGAAGGTAAGCGGCGTGATAGTGCTTGTGTCCATCCTTTTCCAAGTCCATCTATGGTCTCTATTGTTCTTGGTGCCCAATGGGGTGATGAAGTGAGCAAAGAAGATAATAATTTTCTTATAGAAATTATATCTTTAGGGAAAAGGCAAATTAGTTGATCTACTCGCATCTGAAGCTGATGTTGTTTGTCGTTGTCAAGTAAATTATATATATATATATTGGTTTTTCTTTTGTATTTTACATAATTTTTATCAGGGTGGAAACAATGCTGGACATAGTGTTGTAGTTGATGGTGTTGAATATGATTTTCATATGCTTCCATCAGGTTTTCATCTACAAAATTGTGTTAATATCATTGGTATATGAATAGAAAGCAAAAAAAAAAATTAATTCAATATAAATGAATAATCGTTTTTAGGTAATGGTTGTGTCGTTAATTTACCAGAATTAAGGGAAGAAATTCAAAAGAATGAATCTCGTGGTATTACGAATTGGTCAAATCGATTATTGATATCTGATCGAGCACATCTTGGTATACATAAAATTTATATCTTTTTTTTTTGTTTTCATAAAACTAAATTTCAAAATATTTAGTTTTTGATTTTCATAAACAAAGTGATGGTTTTATTGAACGAGGACGTGGTAAGAGTAGGTAAGTAATAATTATTGATTATTTTAAAATAAATTATTAAATTTATTTCATAGTCTTGGTACAACAAAAAAAGGTATTGGACCAACATATTCATCGAAAGTGAGATTTTTTGATTATGATCAAAATTTAGTTCGAATAAATAAAAAATTTTAGGCTACACGAAATGGTATTCGTGCAGGTGATTTAGTTGGTGATTTTTCTATGTTTTCTGATAAGTTAGTTTGTTATTTAATTTAAGAAAATGTTACATTGTGTTGTTGTTATTATTTTTTTTTCCAAATAGATTACGAAATATTTATAATTATTATAAATTAACATTTCCTGATTTGGATATTGATATTGAAAAAACTATTGAACAATTTAAACAACTTGTTGAATATTTTCGTCCAATGATAATTGATACAATAGCTTATTTAAATCAAGCTATAATTGATGGTTCAAAAAAAATTCTTGTTGAAGGTGCTAATGCTACAATGCTTGATATTGATTTTGGTAAGTTTATCAATTAAATTTAGATAAAAAGAACAAAAAAGAGATAAGTCGAAACAACGTAATGAAATGTAAATATACATGATAATTGTGTACAGTTTCGAGAGCTTCGTCTATTACGACATTATGACTAATCTTTAGCTAGATAAAATAAAAAACATGAGAGTAAAAGACAATAAATATATATTATAGTAATGATAAAAAAGAAAACAAATTTTATTTTTATTGTACATAAATTAATATCTAAAGATTGAACTTCCTAAGGCAGTATGTGTTCTATCGATTTAGTAGCATTTTGCTGTTTTGTCTTTATCATTTGAAATATATGTTTATTCAAGAAGAAAGAGAAGATAATTGTAATGACAAAGATGACAGTAGTCATTAAAGAGTGAAAAAAACGTTAAAAGAAGATTATAAAAATTGAACAATATAGGATTCTTATATTTATGTCTTAACTGTCTACATAAGCTTTCTTAAGAATAAGCTTAAGTTGCAGCTTTATATACAGTGATTCTAAAAATATTTTGACCGGATTTATTTTCAATTTTATTTTGTTGTCGTAAATGCGGATAAGAATTCAAATAGTAATTCGAGTGAAGAATTTTATATGAGAAAAATAATGGCTAATTTTACATAGAATGATGAAAGAAAACAACATTTTTCGACCGAGAGACATCAAGGGGGAACAAACTGATTACTTGATTACTTGATTACCAATGATTACTAGTGATTACTAATGATTACTAATGATTACCAATGATTACTAGTGATTACTGGTGATTACTGGTGATTAGGGGTGGGAAGTTACCGTTACGTTCCCGGGTAACTGGTAACGGTTTCGTAACCATCTCCGTCCCCAACCGAGCCCTAGGGTCATCAAGTAAAATTTTTTTTTCGAAAATTTTTTTTTCAAAAATTGGACTTGAGGACCCCACCGTTCGGGACTGATGATTACTCGNCCAGACCCCGAAAATAAAAGTTTGTTTTGATTACACAGGATGATAGAGCAACGAATTCTCTACAAAATGAGATGTCTCCGAGCTCTCCATGACAATTTTTTACTGAACTCTATTAGTTTTAAAGAACACCCTAAAGTGCTTTTTGTCCGATTTTCCCATAGGAAATGGTGAAAATACCATTTTTGAGTGTTCCTTAAAACTGATGCAGTTCACTAAAACATTGTCATGGAGAGCTCGGAGACATCTCATTTTGTAGAGAATTCGTTGCTCTATCACCCTGTGTAATCAAAACAAACTTTTATTTTCGGGGTCTGGGTGCTTAAAAAATAGGTTTTCGGTTTTCCAGAGATCCTGGTTTTGGGGAATAAGATGAGAATTTCATCTTTCTGGAACCTTTGTTGGAAACAATTTTCTCTATCCAAATCACTATTTGGATTCTTCATAGGAGTTACCATTAGGGAAAAAAATCGAAATTACACCTGTATGAATAATTTTTGGAGCCACTGTATATGTTATTGAATAATATTTGTTCATATTTTTTTCTTAGGGAGTGATATCGATTATATTTTGTATTCCAAGTAATATCGATGGATTGATCGATATTTTTAGCTTTTCTGCATGGATTTTCTATGGTTTAACATTTGTAGCAACACTTTGCTGTAAATTTACAATGAAAAAAGCTAAACGAGTGATTAGTGTAAGTTATAATATAAAGTAGCAGGAAAAAAAAGAGTTTCAAAACGAAAGACTTTCTTTTTCCTTAACGATAATAGCTAGAAGAAATCAAAATACGTCTACGAAAAATTAAATTCATATGTCTCTACTTTAGGTTCCAATACCACTAATTCTTCTTATTATTCTGATTGCAATTTATTTGGTGATTGCACCTGTTATTGCTAATCCAAGTATTGGATTTCTTGTAGCTTCATGTCTTATTCTCTTTGGTATGGTATTTTATTATCCATTTGTATACAATCAAGTAGAATTAGAATGCATTAGTAAGTACAAATATATCATCAAAGCAAGAAAAAAATAAAAATAAAAAACGATTCTATATTATTTTTTTATCGTTTTTTTTTTGTTTATAGAAAAAATGACAAAATTTCTTGAAGATTTTTTCGATTTGAAGATATCAAGTATTAATTTGGATTAAGATACAATATTATGCACGAATGAAATCTGTCAGATACATGAACTAGTCATTTTACATAAAACTCTCTTTGTTATTATATTAGATGAAACAAAATAAAATAAACTATCATTCTTTTTTCTTAACTCACGAAATACAAAATTGTTTAAAGAATAATTTAAAATGAAAATAACAATTAATAAATAATAAAAGAAATATTTTACTATTAACACATATAGAACAAATAATGAGAGTATATCTAATTGAATTTATTATTGATTTCTTCTATGATAATTTGTCATAGGTTCGTTTGAATAAATATATGTTGTTGGTATGGTATGAATTAAGATTCTACAATGATTTTTGTTACATATATTTTTTTTTTGATAAACTTCTTTTATTTTAATCGCATGAAATTATCTATTGTTTCTGTAGTTTAAAGTGTAATTCATTTTGTCTTTTACTATTTCTATATGAATTTGATTAGACGATAAAAGGTAAGAGAGAAAAGGTCTTGTAATCTTTTTTTTTTCCTATCGAGACAAATGTTGATGATGTATTTATTTAAACAATATATTTATAAAGCTAAACATTTCGATTTCATATGGCAGCAACTATGTCATTAAATTCATCTATGAGTAAGTTAATAACATAGAATAAGCATAGATTTCTCGACACTATCAATCATGATTTTGTTGTTTAGACGATATTGAATCTATTCATTGTCGTGAAAATAATTTACCTATAGTTAAACAAAGACGTTTGACAAATGAAACAATTCATACACAAGATTCATCAAGAGAAGTATTACCAACAAATGATGTAATACTTAAAAGAAATTTGGGTCTATTCTCAGGAGTTTGTTTTATAGTCGGTATTATTATTGGTAATAAAATATCGTATAGTTATTCTAATGATGATTATGAATATTTTATTAATAGGTTCGGGTATATTTGTATCACCGAAAGGTGTTTTACGTGGAACAGAATCAGTCGGTTTATGTTTAATTATTTGGATTGCATCTGGTCTTGTTTCTTTGCTTGGTTTGTTTCAAAATAAATTCTAACTTTTTAAAATATTTGTTTTTTTTTATATTTTATAGGAGCATTATGTTATGCAGAAATTGGTACTGTTATACCAAGAAATGGTGCAGAAATAGCTTATATGAAAGAAGGTGTTATATAGAACAAAATATTTCGATTGATAAAACTTATTTAAAATACTTTTATTTTCTTCATAGGTATTGGTTCAGTTCATGAACGAATTGGTGAAATATTAGCATATTTATTCAATTGGACAAGTGCACTTATTCTCAAACCATCAAGTGTAGCTATTCTTGCACTCACTTTTTCGCAATACTTTTTATCTGGTATTTTTATAGGTAAATTTTTCAATCTATAATAATAATATTCTTGTATATTCTACATATATTTAGATTGTAGTCCATCAGAAGAACTTATCAAAATAACAGCTATTCTTGCTATTCGTATGTTGAGTTTTCATTTGTGAAATACAATCTTAAAAGAAGTATTGAAATATGACGGTAGAGATTTGCATCCTCTGTGACCAAAGACATACTTGAAAATGCTCTTTTTCATCACAGTTCATGACAGACTTACCAAAGAAATCATCCAACTGATTAATTGCTTTCTAATTTGAATTATGTACATCATGCACACTCTAATGAGCTATGAATACACGGTAAAGATCTCGATCCCTTAGCTTATTGCTGTGAAGATAATGAGTTTTTACGGTAAAATTTTTAGTTAATGCCGTGATCCCCGTCAGCAACACTATGAAAACTGATTTTCGTATTTCGATTTGAAATTTCCCATAGAGATTGGGCTCATCGAGAATAGTTTATTGTATAAGTGTTAAATCTCTTGATTTGCTCCTTTACTAATATAAGAACATAAAATCTACTTGTATATATGAGCAGTATTAATGATAAACTTTTAATATAGCTGTCTCTTATCATAGAAACAACGAAAACACCTGAAATTTTCACAATAAAATATTCTCGTTAATATCTGTCACTTCTCGTCTCAAAATCGGTTGATTACTTAAATGACTTGCTTCGTTACCCATAAAAGAAAACTGGTTTTAATATATCTCTCTTTGAGCCTTTCAAAAAGTTCACGGTAATACATGACGCATAACATCTTTCATTACGGACATATCAGTACATTGGAAGTTCCTACTCGAAGTATATGTTGCTGAAACAATATCTTCCTAATCTACATAAATGAAAGATACATTTTGTTTGTATCTATCATTCATACAAGAAAATGAATGCAAACAAAACGTATGTTTTGCTTATTTTGCTCAGAAGGGGAGAGGGATATATGATGATCAACCGCAGCTTAAATTTTAATCTTATAAGGATTAGGCTAACAGCATTTTATTTATAAATGTGTTTTCTCTATTTCAAGTCATGCTCATGAATATCAATTCCATCAGTGTATCTGCAGCTAATCGATTGCATATTATCTTTGTGATTTGTAAAGTAATAACTATTTTGACAGTCGTCATAGTTGGTATTGTAAGAATGGCAAAAGGTTTGTTTCGTTTCGTAAGACAAAAAGAAAAACAAACAGCCAGAGTTTATTCTAGGACATACACAAAATTTACAAAATGGTTTTGATGGTAGAGTAAAATTTTCATATAAAGATAAGAATGCATTGTTTTAATCATGAATAGGTACAACAAGAAAACCATTAGGTGTAGCACTTGCTTTTTATTCTGGCCTATGGGCATATGATGGATGGAATAGTTTAAATTCAATAACTGAAGAATTAAAAAATCCACAAAGGTAAATTAGCCAAAATTTCATTGATAATCTATCGTTATGCATTTTTTTTATTGTGCAATAGAAATCTATGGTTATCTATTGTATTAGCATTACCATCTGTTATTGTTCTTTATCTTCTTACAAACATTTCTTATTTTACTGTAATGAGCAAAGAAGCATTGCTTAGTTCAAATGCTGTTGCTGTAGTATGTAACAAAAGTCGATTATGTATTCAAACGTTTGATTCATCTTTGTTTAATAGACATGGGGTGAGATTGCAATAGGTCCTGTTGTACGTGCTCTACCAATTCTAATATCAATCAGTGCATTAGGCAGTGGTAATGGAGTATTATTTTCAAGTGCTCGTTATTGTATGGTTGGTGCTCAATATGGATATTTACCTGAAGTATTTGCTTGTATTCATAAACACAGATTGACACCAGTACCTGGTATTGTTCTTGAGGTTGTCAAATTGTTAAATTGTTAATTGATAATCGTATTATTATTTTTTTTTTTGAAGGGTCTTATTGCAATAGCTTTATGCCTTCCAAGTAACGTCGAAGGACTTATTGATTTTTTTAGCTTTGCTGCATGGATCTTTTATGGTTTAACATTTTTAGCAACACTTTTGTGCAAATTTACAATGAAAAGAGCTGAAAGAGTGATAAGTGTAAGTTATTAACAGATCATAATAATAACGACTAATCAAACATTATAGATTCCTATACCCTTGATTATTATTATTATTTTGATTTCAATCTATTTGGTATTTGCACCTGTTATTGCTGATCCAAATATTGGATTTCTTGTAGCTTTTCTTATTATTCTTTTTGGTTTAATATTTTATTATCCATTTGTTTATCGTAAAATAGAACTGAATATTATAAGTATGTAACATAATTAATTCTACGGCAAAAAAATCGGTTTTCTTTTTAATTGTTTCTAGAAAGAATTAACAAGATTCTGATAACGTTCTTTCAATTACAAATAGCACAAGTGAATATTTAACAATGTAATTGTATTTCTTGAACTTCATTCTTTTCATTTCAATAAAATATTTCTCATAAGAAAGGTCAACAAATCAATGATCATATTTAATAACCTTTCATAGTTTGTTTTTTATCGCTGAATTCAAATCATCATCAACAAAAGTCAAACATTATTAGAATTAATATTTTATAATTTGATCTTATTCGAGTCAAAATGATTGATTTTATAATGAATATTTCACATGGAATAATATGATGATAAATATTCAGCAATCGGTTTTTTTTTGTCTTGAAATGGCGAAATATTTCAACTAATCATTCTTGTGATTTAGAGGTCAACTTTATGTGATTGTAATTTAAATATTGAGTTTCTTAGGTAACTATATGCAATAGTATTGTAAAATAAAATCAGTTTATAATGGAATAATTTTAATCATAAAAATGATAAATTAATATATTTTTCTTAGTTGTTTGTGCCTTAGCGAGACTGACATAAGTCGAAAAAGGTTCGCTCTTATGGATCTTTGGAGCACAGTTATGATCGTTTTAATGAGTTTTCGACATCAATTTTACCCATAGATAGATCTAATTATCGATAGAATATCGTGAAAGTTTCAGCGGAAAAGAATGCTTTTGTTTTGTCGAAACAAATTAGTTCCTATTCAATTTCAACTTCTCTTATGTACAATATTGTTCGGTATTATCAAATACTGCGAGTTATAAAACTTAGGTTACCATATAAAAATAACTCTTTATTGGTCATTATCAGAATACGGTAACAATTAGTGTTTTACTTAGTTTTGTAGAGCTTTTTCCGCTCAATAATTCGTTTATTTCATGATCTCATTTGAAAGGAGAAAAAAAAATTAATGAAAACCATTAAAATTTTTAATACAGTTAACTCAGAAAGCCAAGGATTTCAATTTTATTGATATTTGTGTAGTATTTCGTCATTTTTTAAGACTTCTCGGTACCAACGTCGTTTTCTCCCAAAAAATGCACTTGGTGAAGCTCTATCAATATCCATACATATCATATTGAATATCACTGGGACTACAAAAACACTCCTTGAGTATTTTTTTCAAGTATTAAGCTTTACATGATACTAGTAGTATTATTTATCATAGTGAAAATATGCGAAATCTACGATTCTGAGATACATGTATGGTTGTTTTATTTTAAAAAAAATATAACTGAAGAAAAGTTATTGATCTTTTATAGAGAAATATTTTTATTTAGTTTTGTGCTTGATCAAATTTAATAAACATATTCACACAGAAAATTAATCAAATAAAAAAAAATAAAGCCATTCATAGACACGTATATAATCATGAAAAACAAAGAACGTATGTTTATATAACAGACATAAAACATATTTAGTCTTCATTCTGGAATGTTCCTATGTCGCAAAAACCGGATCACTTTTAGCGGTAAACTGCGGTTAGCTAGAAAAAATCGCCGCTTTTCACTACATGCATGGTATCAATAATAAGTGTTGTTTCTGAATCAGTTGACTTGACTTCTGTATTTTCATTGCCTGTTATATCAACATACTATTAAAAAAAAAGTTTTATATGATTTCTTTTTGCTTATTCTCTCACGTAGTGGTGAAACGATTCTTCATTATTTTCGTTTTCATGATCATTAACAACTACTGCAGTATTTGTAGCCATTAAAATTGAAAGGAAAGCGAAAAATGATCGAACGAAAATTAGTCGAGAAATGTACAAAAATAAATCAAATTTATTTGATCGACAAGAGAAATTGGTACAATCAAGCAGAAGTATGAATTAACACTAAATACACAAGTATCGCTATAAAGATACACAAAAAAACATAGTGCATAATCAAATAAACAAGTAAGACAAATACAAAAACAGAAGTAAGACAGATAGAAAAAAAATTATAAATTATGAGAAAGTCCTTCAAATTGTTGTAGAATAGATGGTAGTGGATGTTTAATTAAATTGCAGAGGCGTACACTATAATTTTAATATTTTTTATTTGGCTCGATCTTTTCTCCAGAATTAAGCTTGTTCAATTGACAGTAAATAAAATGTTCTTCATTTTTTAAATTGTTAATAAATATCCAAAGAGTAGGATGCTGACATTGAATAACTGAACTTAAACGACGGTGCCAAGCTTCAGCTGAATTGTTAGTGTGCATTAAAAGATCAGTAGTTCTTTGATTCATGTTCCAGAGTTCGATTTCAAACATTGATTTTGATCGCCCTTGTGCAAGATTTCTTCCTACATATGTGTCTTCAAAATAATTTAATAATGGATGTAATATTGGTGTAAATGGATTAAATAGATTGTCAAAACCTTGACTAATATCATTTGGATGAAGAAAAGCAAGGGCAGCAATTTTATTAATATGATGAGCAAATACCGAGTCTTGTTCATAATTTGTCTTTAAACCTAATTCCTGCAAAAAAAAATGCAATGCTTAATTTTTCTATAGGGCTAAATTACTGACTTGGACTTTACGTTGAATACTACTGTGTAGATGAACAAAGCAGCCAGACATTACGGATGGATTTATTGTTGTTGTAAATTTATCAGCAAAAAGTGTATCTCCATCCACACTAGCATCCCATCTATCAGAAATTGTCACAATAATTCGTTACGTTTCCACGATCGTGGTGGTTATTCTATTGGGAGTCTTATGAAAACAAATGAAAAAGCGCTATGCAGGAGGCACAAAGACAAAGATAGCAACTCTAATTATTTCCGGTTCTGCCCACTCTACTGTTTATTACAGCTTGCCATCGATACTATTCGATCCAAAATCTACAGACATATCCATTAAAAATACTACAGAACAGCAAGTATCAACCAAAAATATAAATAAACTTATTTTTATCATGACAGTACTCATTCCAACACCATTCTCATGTTTCCAATCGATTACCCGAGCATTTAACATGCGTCAATTGATCCACAATCTCATGGGATATTCATGCAACAAGTCCTTCTCTTTCAGTAAAACATTAACCGATATGAAAAATTTCCTAACGTTCTGTAGTGAAGCATGACAAACTTTCTGTACCACCTCTTCAATCATTTGGTGTCAGTATTACAGATCATTTCATGAGACAGAATGTATAGTTCGAGAAACTTAGCATCATTTAATGTATGCTTCGTGGTCCTGCAAACGAAGTAATAACAGAGAATAAGAACTAGAGTATCTATGTGAGTCTTCATACTCAAACACTTGCAATTTTAATGAACATAGTGATAAATTCAGCACCTATAAGGATTGGTCAAACTAATCGTATTCTTTTTTTCCATTTTATCGTAATCACAACTCGATCGGCAAGTCGTTGGACTATCGTAGAATTTACTTCTAAAAGAAAACTAATAAATTATCGTTTCACTTGTAAATTTAGTGAGTTAATCATGTTACACGTGACAGATAAAGAAATTTTCGTGAAACTCAATTTATTAAACTAATATTTTTATTAAACTGCAGTTAAATGATAAAACGAAGCAAAATATGTCACTATTCAAATGATTTTCGAACTAATTTCGATAAAGACAAGCAAACAAAAAACGAATGAGAAACTTGAGTCTTCTGCATCATTGCTCTTACAACTATCAGTTTTTTTTGTATCTCACGGATGAATCTTCAACGAATCGAATCTATCTTTGCAGCAGAACAGAGAAAGATAATAGTTTATTTATATTATTAAGGTATTCTATAGAAACAATTTCTGTCTAGAGTTCATGTTTGCATTGCTTTTTAACTATGGTTTTTTGTATTTATGAAAATCTTGGAAAGCAATTTTTACTTTCTCTATGAAAGACAAACATTTAAATGTGCATCAATATTCTGAATGATGCCAATGATATTTGAAGTATGAGTCCGAATCATAGAAGATTACATAATATTCTGTAGACTTTTCATTTTTGCTTTCCAGAACACCTCAAAAAATCTTACACCACTATCTTGTTTTAAGTAGTCAATTGTCAATGTGCAACATTAATTTAATTCGCCTATATCACGAAGACTCAGCATCAGTAAAAAACGATGGTAAATACATGAATTTTCAGTGCACGAAAAGCTTTGTATAATTGTAAATAAAAAAACCTTTTTCACATATACTTTCGACCGATATCAAGTAGTTGATTATACATTCGGCATATAGTAGTCTATCGCTGTGAACTGATTCTTGTTTCTTCAAAGTCTAATGAAAGTAAGATTTACTATATACTATTCGCCATGCTCCCAACAGACAAGTATGTCACTTTTTGTACTAATTTGGTATTAAAAAGTGTTTAATTTGTTATATAGTTTGTTCCCTTGTAAAGATTTTTCGCATCTAAATTTTTGGTAACAAAAAAGGCCAGTTTTTTTTTCAAAAATAGTGAACAAATTTTGAGAGTTGAAACGCATTGAAAAACATAAATGAATCATCAAATGATATGCAGTTCCTTTCGACTATTTTCGAAAATTTTATTGTATGCGTTTATTAGTTATGTTTTATATATAACAATTATCTGTGTTTCTCTTCTCACTGCAACGATACAGAGTTTTTTTGTTCCAACGTTCCAACCTTAATTCAGTACGCATTAATATTTTACTTTCGTAAAGGTACGATCTAGCTCTAGTTTTAGTCTCCACCACAAATTTCTAAAGAAGAAAGGTAGTTACCTAGAAAGAGGCTATACAATTTTTTTCAGCTACATTTTTAGTGATATAGTAATTTAAATCTTTTGTTATCTTTCCTAATTATCTTAATAATCACATCTTTGATTAGATTTAAAATCTTACTGACATGAAACGACATAGAACGTGAAAATAAAAGATTTAAATTACCACATCACTAAAAATGCATTTGAAAAAAAAATTGTATAGGCCTTCTTCCAGGTAACTATTTTTCCTCTTTAGAAATTTGTAGTCGAGACTAAAAAATGGAGCTTCATCGTCCCTCTACGAAAGTAAAATATAACTACGTGCTGAATTAAGGCTGAGATGTTGTAACAAAAAAAAACCCGATACCGCTTTAGCAAGAAGTGAACGAGTAGGAAGTACGAGTATGCTCATTATCTGATGACGAACATTTCAATCATTCTTGACTTGAATGTATGAAAGAACCTAATAACAAAAAACACTATCATATTATGCTTAATTTTGATACTCATGATTCTCACAAACGTCTAAACTCTATGTAAACAAAAGTTGTCTCTTTGAAAGAACTAGTGGTGGTTTCTAAAGAAATCGGTCCAACTGAATTTTAATGATTGCTTCGTATAGAAATAAAGAGCATGTTGATAGAAGTTATGTCTTATATTTTTTTAAATAATTTAAGTAGATATTTACAAACCTAGGACCCGATAACATTTTCAATTTCCTATGTATTATATAGGAGAGTTCTGGTTAGCAAATTTGACATATGTTCCTTGGCATACGTACTTATTACTTAATACAAATTAAACGCATTATATATCAATAGATAACTCGCGGAAGATACTACAAAAAGCTATATAACAATTATTTATTGAAAACGTAGAAAAAAACTTTTTCATTCAAATACCTGCAATAAGTCACCATGGGTGTGGGAGTTGTTTTTCCTCACACTCATACCCTCCTACGAATCATTTCAATTATATATGAGCAAAATTACACGTCGAAATTCTATCTTTTGTTTTTGTTTTCGGTATGTATCTAACCCATATAGGGCGAACCCGTTTAGTCTTTTTCTAGTCTTACTGAAACTTTCTCATAAGAGTCCAATAAAAACTCAAACAGGGGGTTGTATCACTTCAGATGATTCGTTTATGAGTAACTATTTGGTCAAGTATGCGATATATTTCTTTTTACTTAATCTTTCGATGGCAAAGTCTGTAAAATTTACTCTTTCAAAATTTGAATAGAGAGCGAAGTCGGATGAAAGTAAAACAGGCTTTTTCAATATTTGTTGTATTCTGACGTAGATGCCACTGGTAGCAACATCGTATCTTTATTAAATCAAGTCTGAGTGCAAGAATTACGATTGCCAATAATCTTCAAAGTATAATATGTTAACAATAGATTTTTACTTGAGTTTTTATAAAAATGAATTCGGCGTTAAAAAATTACATCGACAGATTATCTTCTTTTTTTTCTCAAACTTCCGCACAGGAAGTGACTCTGAACTTTATAAAATACTTAATGAGATCATGATATAAACTATGTAACATTTGATATTATTATAATATTTTTAGCATGTCTTTAATTCCTGTCAACTCAATAGTATACTGAATGAAGTTATGAAAAACATAAGGTTTATTTCGTGTTCTTGTTACAATCATGTTTCAACAAAGTTTTATAATAACAACGTATTTTTTTATTTTTTTTAGCAATGAGCTGTAATCCAAATAGTGTTTAATCTAACGTAAGATTTCATTAGATGAAGGTTTTTTAAAATACTCCGGCACAGTAGTTTTCAGATTCTACAAGACTTTTTTGAGCAATGCCATTTTAAAGAGCACAATATGAGTAACCACCGTATTTTCTACGGCGTTTCCTTAAACAATTAAAAGAAAACGAAATTTATTGAAAAATCGTCTTTTTTCAGTTTTCGTGATGCTCTTAAGTCTTTAAAGAAACGTCGTAGAAAATACGCCAACCCCTCATTTGGTATATTTTCAGATGAGCGGCAGCGTGGTACCCGCACTCTTTAGCATATCCTGCCAATTAGCTCATTTAATGTAGAGTATGTCTGTCATCAATCTGTAGACCTCTTCAAGTGAAAGCATTTCAATTGCTATATCTATAAACTATAATTTCATACGAAATAAAAATTACGAATATGCTTAACAATCACATTTAAGTCATGAGTATAGATGAATAATTGTTATCAACAAAAAATGTATGTTCCTATATTTGATAAACATTGGTTATTTATATTTTAACCAATCAAATAATCGTCTATGACCTTTACTATGAATTCTTGAATGTTTTTTTTTTGCAATGAATAAAGTTTGATTTATTTTTCAATAACTTCATTTTATTTAATTAAAAAAAAACGAACTTAACAAGAAAAACCTGTAAACAAATGTCATTCAATCAGCTGACTCAGCCAATGTATATATGTTTCTGTCACACGGTCTCTCGCAACAACACTATATAGATTCACTCATTCGTTTATTCTTTACCTTCTAGATTATTTCTATTTAACATGTAATAGTTTCTTTTCGTTATTTTAGATAAAAATATTTTGTTGTTTTAGTTTAATTAAAAATGTCAAAGACTTCTGTAAGATTAAACTTATATTTTATTCTCAAAAAAAAAAAATTTTTTTCTGTTATTTTCTAGGTTCTTCGTGTTCAATCATCTGAAGGTACAAAACGTTTAGATTTTAATTCTCAAGATACATATAAAACTCTATATCAAAAAGTAAGAGAAAAATTTATTTATTTATCAATTTTTTTTTTGTTCTTTCAAAATCATTTTTCTATTAGGTTGCACAAATATTTTCATTACCATCAACTGATGATTTTACATTATATAAAGAAAAAAATAAACATTTACCATTAGGACGAACACAAAATCGAACAAATTTAAAACATGGTGATATGATTTATTTAGTTGCTGAACGTGAGAATTTATTTCCAACAGATTCTAATTCATCATCATCATATGGTACACTTGATGTTAAATCTGATACACCAACAAATGGAACTGGTTATGCATCACCTAAAGTTGGCTCATTTCAAACAAATAATATGGGAAAATTAAATACAATTAATAATACAGATATTAAAGAAGATGAAGTTGATATACAATTAGATAAAATGGATGGACGAATACCAAGAAAACGTGATCCACAATTGTATGAGAAAATATTTAAAAAAAAACATGATGTTCTTTTTTGAAGATTTTGATTTTTTTTTCTTCTAATTTTATAGATGTCATCATAATGTACATGGAAAATGTTTACATTGTATACCTATTGAACCATATGATGAAGAATTTTTAAAAAATCGTAATCCACCTATTAAACATATGTCATTTAGAGCTTATATTAGAAAATTACAAAGTTCAACAGCGAGTGATAGGTAAATAAATTTGAGAAATGATTATGTATATTTTGGAGACTTGAAAATTTCTGTAAGATATATGAGCTTATCCGGAAAATCGAAATTACGTATTTTGTAATACATTTCTTCTCTATTCACTCGAGAAACGTTATAAGAAAATAGTTCATATACTACCAGTGACGTATCCAGGATTTTTCAGTATGCTGAATCTCGACTTCCGAGTGTGGGACCCAGATGAAACTCATGGAGGGTGATGCTGGGTTCAAATGATGAAATTTTATCAAAAAAAATTTGCACTCGGAGTTTACGAAAAAAATTAGCATTTTCCTGATCCCCCCTCCTAGGATTTTTTGCTGTTAGTAGCATCTTAATTTTTAGAATTTCATAGGAAGCTATACCGAATTTCATCGACAAATTTCAAATTTCGTCTAAAAATATGTAATCGTTCAAGAGTTATAACTTTTTGAATTTTTGCCACATGTGGAAACAATTTTTTCGAAATTTCAAAACATCATAACTNTCTATTCACTGACATCTATTCTTCTCATAATCGGCAAACATCACGTAAATCGAGTGTACAATCAGATTCACTTCCAAGTGTTTCATGCACTGATGAAATAGCTCTTAAACGACATCTTAATTTATGGTCTGGAGTCTGTTTTATTGCTGGTATTACTATTGGTAAATAAATTACTTCTATTAAAATAATGATCGATTATTTTTTTTGTTTTTTGTTTGGTTTAGGTTCAGGTAGATTTGTTTCGCCTGAAGGCGTTTTAAAATATACTGAATCAGTTGGTTTATGTTTAATAATTTGGGTAGTAAGTGGAATTGTTGCTCTACTTGGTTAATTAATAAAGAAGATTGATAGATATTTTTTGGATGTTTTTTTTCTTTCTAGGTGCACTTTGTTTTGCAGAAATTGGTGCAGTAATACCAGGAAGTGGAGCAGAACTTGCTTATATGAAAGAAGGTATCGGTTCAATTCATGAACGAACTGGTGATATATTCGCATATCTATTCAATTGGACAAATACACTCATTCTCAAACCAGCAAGTGCAGCTGTTCTTGTAATGTCTTTTGCTGAATACTTTTTATCTGGTATTATGGATGGTAAATTTTCTTTTTTTTGTCTTCCTCTGCAATTACATTCTTATATGTTTCATATCTTTAGCTTGTGGTCCACCAGAAACACTTGTTAAAATCACATCTGTCTTTACACTTCGTATGTTGATTCTTCTTTTTCTTTTTTTTGTAAATAAATATCTATTCTATTTCAAGTTATACTCACAAATATCAATTGTATTAGTGTATCTGCAGCTAATCGATTAAATATTATCTTTGTAATTTGTAAAGTAATTACAATTTTAATAGTTATCATAGTTGGTATTGTACGAATTGCACAAGTTTTTTTTTTTTCTTATATATAAGATAAAAAAGAAAAATAATTATAATTGTTTTTTAGGACATACAAAATATTTACAAAATGGATTTGATGGTAGAGTAAAATTTTTTTATGTAAAAGGAGGAATGTATTGTTTAAGTCATGAATAGGTACAACAAGAAAACCATTAAGTGTTTTGCACTTGCTTTTTATTCAGGCCTATGGGCATATGATGGATGGAATAGTTTAAATTCAGTGACTGAAGAATTAAAAAATCGAAAAAGGTAATCAATCAAAATTTCATCGATGATCTATATATGTAGTTCTTTTTTTTTCTTAATAGAAATTTATGGTTATCTATAGTATTAGCATTACCATATGTTATAATTCTTTATCTTCTTATAAATATTTCATATTTTACTGTAATGGATAAAGTAACATTACTTAATTCAAATGCTGTTGCTGTTGTATGTAACCAAAACTAAATTGTGTATTTAAATATTTGATTTATTATTAATTAATAGACATGGGATCAGGTTGCAATAGGTCCCGTTGTGCGTGCTTTACCAATTTTAATATCAATCAGTGCATTAGGTGGGTGCTAATGGATCTCTTTTTAGTTCTGCACGTTACTGTATGGTCGGAGCTCAATATGGATATTTACCTGAAGTCTTTGCTTGTATTCATAAACAAAGATTGACACCAATACCTGATGTTGTTCTTGAGGTCATCAAATTGATAAATAATTAATTGACAATCATATTCTTTTTTGTTTTTTGAAGGGTCTTGTTATAATAGCTTTATGTATGCCAAGCAATGTTGAAGGACCTATTGATTTTTTTTAGTTTTGCTGCATGGATTTTCTATGGTTTAACATTTTTAGCAACACTTTTTTGTAAATTTACAATGAAAAAAGCTGAACGAGTAATAAGTGTAAGTTATTATATATTATTATTATAATAATAATAAATAATTAAACATTGTAGATTCCGATACCATTGATTGTTATTATCATTCTTATTTCAATCTATTTGGTAATTGCACCTGTTATTGCTGATCCAAGCATTGGATTTCTTATAGCTTCTCTTGTTATTCTCTTTGGTTTAATATTTTATTATCCATTGGTTTATCGTAAAATAGAGATAAATATAATAAGTGCGTGATATCAGGGTGTCCGGCAAGTTCGTAGAACTGTATCGTAATTGCATGTATGAAACGTTTAGTTCATGTTATTGTGCAAAAAGTGAATTTTCAACGTGGCATAGATCTTTTTCTCGACTGATTGTATCATTTTGTGGAAAGAATTAGTTTTCACAACCGTGTCTATCAAAAAGAATTAGTTGAGCGGTCGAAAATAGATAACGAAATAAATGGTACCAAACTTCAATAAAATGCATTTCTAGATTTTAAAAATCATTGATAATTTCATTTCAAGGTTATTTGAGTACCACTCGATATCATCATAGGATGAATAACGGAAGCAAAAAGTGGCACGTATCGCTACCGAAAGAGAAATATGTGTAAAACGAAAGAATAAATACTTTCGAAAATATCTATTCTTTCGTTCTGCACATTTTTTTTNAAATAATTAATTAATATTTCATAATATTTTCTGTATAGTTAAAAATTCGTTAAAAAAAATTACTAAATTCAAATTAAATAGATAAATATATTGTATATTTTACAGTAGATAATGTTCATAATATTCTTGTACATGTACATAAAAAAAGAACAATATCAATGTTTTCAATATGTTAAAAAGTAAATATAGTTTCTGTTCATTATGAATAACTATCTAATACGTAATTAGAACTCTATACAGCAAGTTACGCAACTCACTAAACAGAATGAATTCCAAGATACTCAAGTCATAATCTGTTAATCTGTGATAGAAATACAACTGTTACAATGAGGATGTGGGAATTGTAAAGAATTATACTAAAGATTTGAAGATAGATTATAATATTTACAGATTTTATTTATTATCAACACTAGTGATGTGTTTTTTTTTCTGTGTAAAATGGTTTTTATCAACATGCATCAATAATATCTATTTTGGAATATCTCTTTTGTTTTGTATTGAAAAACTACACCCATTCGAAGTTAAGTGGTGCCTAGATTATGTTTGGATGTACTCAATTGTAGTCGTTTAAGTACTATCACCAATTTCAAACGTTAAGAGACTTATCTTTTTGTAAACTAAATTGATCATTATAATCTATGTTTTCTCAAATCATTTGTATGAAAATAAAACGTTGAGAATCATGCACTTTTAAGAATAAAATACCATGTTACTAATAGACACAATATGGAATCGATTGATTAAGAAACAGATGGATTATCTTGAAAATAATTTCTTCTTTATTTTCTATCGGTAATTATAGAAGATTAACAGATCCATATTATGGAGGTTCTACGTATTGGTCTTATTTATATTACTTTTGATCATAAATATGTAGCAAGAATAATAGCATATTCTATGTAATAGAAAATGTACAAATATATCGTCTGTCTCCGACAAAAAAACTAACCATGATAATAGATTTCTCTAAAATAAACATCGTTTTAATTAAATATATTTTTATTGAATCGACATATACTTACTTCATATAAGATCTTCATTAGAGATGTACAAGGTACGCTTTAGATATGTGAAACAATTTTCTAAACAGTTTTCTCTGAAAATTTTCCTGAAAACTGTCTAATAGTGTATTTCAATTTAATCGAAATTTTCATTCTAACATGTTTATGAGGTACAAGAGATATTAGATCTATAGTTTAACATACAATGTCGATATTTATCATTTCATACTCCAACATTAAACTAATGAATTTGATTATTTATTTGTCAAAACAATAGAAAATTGCGCTGAATTTTAACCAAGTTCTTTTTTTTACATTTCATCAAAGTTCCTTGTTCTTTTGAAATAAATTTTACAGAAAAATAAACTTTTGTTAAGAAATTAATACAATTTCCTATTATTTTGAAAAGCCGAGAATCATATTCATTTGCTTAATATTCGGCTCTGAAGAAGTAGCTGTGGACATTATATAATAAACTATTGATCTGAAGTCCCATTATCCAATATGCATGTTAGAAGAAACATAATATCAATTGAACTAAACTATATTATTATATTTTTTTTTTTTGAAAACTTTTCTAAAAAAAACAATTAACTTAGAAAAAAGATTTATTTTGAATAATAATTATTACATGAAAATATTTTCTAACTCAGTCTGTTTCAATTCAAAAAAATCAACAATTGGCAAGTATTATATTTCCAGATATTTAGAACTATAATTATACTTCTCCTATTAGAGGATGAATGATAAAATGAAATTTTAATCTATTGAATTTATTTTGTATCACAAGCAAATTCAAATTTTTCTAAGAATTCTACTAATGATATACTTTTTTTTATTAATATGACTTATATTATTTATATTCACAATTATTTCTATCATTGTTCTAATAACATTTTTGCTTTATTTTAATTATTAATTACAAATGAATCCAAATGGCAATAACAATATTAACAAAGAATTAGTTCAAATGATTCTTATCTTCAAAAAATTATTTTATTTAATTAAAACAATAAATACTCAGTTATCAACAGTAATGAAAACAATTTTCGTCAAATTTTATTGAAGAAAATTTCATTTTATTTAACAATAAAATTGTAAAACTTTGAAGATTTTTATTTGTTGAATTGATGAAAATATTTTTCAAATAATACTACATATCTAGACGATATTTGAATACAAGAAACATTCATTATTGTATCAAATATTCTATTGTTCTTTGTTTAATTAGAGAAGTAAATATCATTTTTGCAGTTACTAAATTTCATGTATCACCAATTTCATTTGAAATTTATTTTTCTAAATAAATTTAAAATCGATATGAAAAATACTAAGTAAACCATTCGCTAATATGTATTAGAAAAATCTTTCTTAGGAAGAAATGAGAAATTTAGGAGATTCCCTTTCTATTCAAAAGCCATATGGAAAAGATATAGATTAAGAATAAAATCCTTTATATAAAAAGTGAAGGAACAGTTGATTAGAAACTAGAAAGTTCAAATTTTATAATTCACTCAAAACATGAATATATTCCAACTGAATCAGCATGAATTTGACATGCTATTTGATGTATCGAAAGAAGTTATCACACAAAAAAAAAGACTGAAAAAAGAAGTAACACTTTATTGACAATCAAATTTTTATCAAAATTAGATGAATAAGTATTATGCTTTTGGTTTTTTTTATTCGATATTATTAATCTTACATTGGCAATGTATGATAATCTTCAATTGAATATTACTTTTATACAGTTGACGATATTTATTCGTCTATAGACAAGTCTGATATATATATATATATATGCACACTCAATGTAATGATCGATTGAAGTAATTGTGGAATAATTAAACATAAATGAGAAACTATTCATTTGAGTTATTCAGCCATTGTACATAGTAATGGACCTAGTGCTCATTTAACAAATGTCTAATCTGTTCGATCGTCTACTATAAATGGAGAGATCACTGATTTAATGTTCAATGTAACTCTTGCATTATATATAACTCTATATAATACAAGAAATCTTTTCATTACTAAGTCTATCTGTTTACGTTTATTTATACAAAATCTTAGTGAAATTCTTCTCATCAATCAAGTAACATTGTAACTATTTGATTGTATCTATTCAATGAATGATATTATACATACAATATAATATATTATTGTGTAATCTCTTGATGGATCATTTTGTTATTAAATGAGTGTCATGAAAGTATGAAGAAAAGATGTAAAACATAATATATCATTATAATAAATTTATTCGAAAATTAAACCTTTTTATTGACTTGCTTGTTGAATAACTTCACATCCTTATTTAAAATCATGGATCATCGCAAGATAACTTTTTAAGCTCTGCTCTCATCATTACTCAAACCAAGCAAGACATAACATTGAAATGTAATATTCTGTGTAAAAAATCTAAAATATTGATAAAAATTATTTGATTGCTTTTAAATTCAATATTTATTATTTACATATATTATTTTCAAAGCAAACTCTACAATTCATTCAATATATTAGAAAATAATACTCATTTAAAAATTTGAAAGAAAATCTATTTTTAATAGATTCTTTTGATTTAATAATTCAAACTATTATTGTTTCAATTATTAATCGATATTAAATAGGATACGGTTGAAAAAAGATTTTCTCAAGATTTAACTTATAACTTTACTTTTTGTTTTATACTTCTGATCTCATAAAAAAAAGGTAATCGTAATGCTAATAGAATCTCTGAACGTGTCATATATGAACATACGAATACGATAAATATTGTTACTTTTTCATGTAAACTAGGATGCTGATAGATTCAATTTATTCTATTTGTTATCTTTGCACTTCTCAATGAAACATGATGTTCCTCGATTCAATCATTTAATTTTAGTTTTTTTGCTGAAGCTGATCAGTTCTCTCATGAAGTAAGTTGAGTTCAATATTAAAAAATGACATTCAAATAACACTATACTTTATCGAAAATTATTAATAAATATTATAACTGAATGCATGCAAGTACACATGCATT